TCCCGCTATTAGTGAATCTCAGGGTCAATCCCATATAGCACCCGCTCAACAACACATCCCTGATGATGTTACTCGCCGTCTCGATAGCTTGGAAAAGCTAGTAGCTAAACACCGAGGTGCTCCACCCCCACACCATGCTGTTGATTCTATACCTCACCCTCTGAATACCAACATTACTCTAGAACCCTATCCTGTTAGCTTCAAAATACCACAACTGGAGACTTACGATGGGATGAAAGATCCCGATGACCACCTACATGCTTTCTACTCTTGTATGCAAGCTCAGAACGCCTCCGACGCGTTGATGTGCAAAATCTTCCCCTTTACTCTTCGAGGTAACGCCCGAACTTGGTATTACAGTTTACCTCCGAGGTCAATTAGCTCGTATACAGAAATGGCATCTGCCTTTGCCACTAAGTTTTCCAGTAGAAGGTTGATTAGGAAAACTACTTCTGAGCTGATGAGAGTTAAACAGAGGGATGGAGAATCCCTAAAGAACTATATGAGCAGGTTCAATGATGCAGTATTGGAGGTTAGTTCCTTTGATCAAGCTGTGGGGATTGCAGCTGTAATCTCCGGTCTTAAGCATGACAGGTTCAGAGACAATTTGATCAAACATGCTGCCACCACCTTCAGTGAGGTGAACGATAGGTCTCTGAAGTTTATAACCGCCGAGGGGTATGCCCTGGCGCAGAATCCGACTCCCACTAAGAACCAGAACCCAGAGTGAAGAGATGACAATCCAAGCCGAAAAAGGATGAGGATGGCGCAGAACCGAGGTCCAGTGTTGACCTCCTCACCGAGATTCGGCTGGCCGAACTCCACACCCCCACAACAATCTGCAGGTAAACCTCTAGTTAATTGGACTCCCTTTAATTTGCCAAGGTCACAGATTTTTATGCAGATTAAGAACAAAATGGACTTGAGACGTCCTGGCCCAATGCGAACTGCTGCTGCTAGTCGAGACCATACCAGATATTGTGATTTTCACCAAGATCACGGCCATACTACAGAGCAGTGTAACAGTTTAAGGTCCGAACAAGTTTAGCTCATAAGGGAATGCTGAATGAGTATGTTCAGAAAGCTGAACAGCCGAGGTTTGTCAGAGAACAGAGGCCATAGCCTCAAGGAGTCCGTAATCCCCCAAATAGGCAAGGTGTGGGATATCAGCAAGCCCCACCTCCGCTCCCACCACCAGCTAGAATCCTACACATGATTACGGGAGGCCTTGAAGCAGGTGGACTAAGCTCTAAGCAGCGAAAGCTGTATGTTAGAGAGGTTAAACATAAAAACCGAGTTTAGAAGCGAAAGATTGACGATGCTGAGTGGAAGAATCAACCCATTACTTTCACATCTGCTGACCTTGACACAGTTGTTACACCCCACAATGATCCTCTAGTCACTACTGTCATGATCAATAACTGTGAAGTACAGCGTGTCCTTGTTGATACTGGGAGTGCACCAGACATCATGTACTTCCACTGTTTCGAGAGTCTGGGACTAGATCCAGCATTGTTGCAGAAATATGACGGTCCTATCTATGGTTTCAACAATCAACCTGTGCCGATAGAAGGAGTTCTTACCCTCCATGTGGCTTTTGGGAGTGGCCGGACCTATGTAACCCCTTCAATCTGGTTCCTCGTCGTCAAGATGGCGTCTTCTTTCAACATTGTCATTGGCCGACCTACATTGACTGAAATCCGAGATGTGGTTTCCCAATCTCACCTCTGCATGAAGTTCCCAACTCCTATGGGAATAGCAACACTGCGAGGAAACCAAGAGGTGGCCAGACATTGTTATATCACCTCAGTAACACAACCAACGAAGGGCAAAAATCAGACACCCGAGGCCATTCCCCAGCGAATTCCTGATACTCAGCAAGTTATGGGTGTAGAAATCGTCGATAATCGACTGGATGATGAAGCCAGAGCTGCTCTAGTCGAAGATGTTGAAGAAGCGCTCGTTGATGACAGAGATCCGAGCCGAAAGACATAGATTGGAACTAGATTGAACCTAGAGGAAAAGGCAGAGTTAATAGCTTTTCTCCGAGCCAATAATGATGTATTCGCATGGACTTCGGCAGATATGCCAGGAATTCCGGCCAAATGTATTTTCGGTGTGGAGTCTGGAAAGTTTCTGGGTTTCATGGTGTCCCGAAGAGGGATTGAGGTTAATCCAGAAAAAATTAGAGCAATTGCCGAGATGGAACCACCGAAATCAGTAAAAGATATACAGAGGTTGACTGGAAGAGTGGCAACCCTTCATCGATTCATATCGAAGTCAGCAGATAAGTGCCTGCCATTCTTCAAGATCATGAGGTCGGCTGCCCAGAAGGATGAATCAGGAAAACAGAAGAAATTTGAATGGAGTCAGGAGTGCCAGGCTGCATTCGACGAGCTGAAGTCTTATCTTAGCTCACCACCTCTGCTGACTAAGGCTGTCGATGGAGAGATTCTTTACTTGTACCTGGGGATTTCAGAAGAGGCCATTAGTTCAGTTCTGTTGAGAGAGGAAGCCAAGCAACAGAAACCAATCTATTATATCAGCAGTGTATTACACGGAGCGGAGCTGAGATATCCTATAGCGGAGAAAGCAGCACTAGTAGTTGTCAGTTCGGCAAGGAAATTGAGGCCATATTTTCAGTCACACCCAATCATTGTTCTCACAGATCAACCTCTTCGACAGATTCTGCAGAAACCAGAATGTTCTGGAAGATTAATCAAGTGGGTAGTAGAACTGGGGGAGTTTGAGATCACGTTTCAGCAGAGATCCGTAATCCGAGCTCAAGCACTAGCAGATTTCATTGTCGAATGCACCCCATGTCCTTCAACCTCTACTCCAGAGCCCAACGATTGGACCTTATATGTTGACGGAGCATCTAGTAGCAAGGGTTCAGGGGCTGGCGCTCTCTTGATTGGTCCAGAAGGATACCGAAGCGAACATGCCTTGAAGTTCAACTTTGATGCGACAAATAATATGGCTGAGTATGAAGCTCTGCTACTTGGGCTACAACTAGCACTGGAGTTGAAAATCAGTGCAATTCAAGTATACAGTGACTCCCAGTTGGTGGTAAACCAAATTAACTCAATTTGTGAAGTTATTGATCCCGTAATGGTGAAGTATGTAGCCTTAGTAGCCGAGCTGAAGTGCAGATTCCAGAAATTCTGTCTGAGTAAAATCCCCCGAGCTGAGAATGAACAGGCAGATTCACTCTCCAAGTTTGCCTCTGACAGCTCTTTAAGTTCCAGATCCGTTTTTGTGGAGATTTTAGATGAACCAAGCTTCATGAAGCCTCGGGTGATGGAGATTAGCACAAACCCAGACACGTCGAGTTGGACTGATTCAATCATCTCCTTTTTGCAAGATGAGATAGTACCTGAAGACAGGCAGGAGGCAATGAAGTTGAGAAAGAAAGCATCTCGGTATACCCTCGTTGATGGGGTCCTGTATAAGAGATCTTTCTCACTTCCTCTTCTACGGTGTTTAAACCCCTATGAAGCTGAATATGCACTTCGAGAGGTGCATGAAGGTGTCTGTGGGAGCCATATCGGTGCTCAGACTCTAGCTCACAAAGTCTTAAGGCAAGGATATTACTGGCCAAACATGCATAAAGATGCCACTTACTTTGTTCAGAAATGCCCGAAATGTCAATTCTTCGCACATCTGACTCACCAACCGGCAGAGGAACTCACGAACATGGTAGCACCGTGGCCATTTGCTCAGTGGGGATTGGATCTTTTAGGCCCGTTCGTGAAAGGGGTTGGAGGTGTAACCCATCTGGTTGTTGGTGTGGATTATTTCACAAAGTGGGTAGAAGCTCGGCCTTTATCTAGTCTTACCTCTAAGAAGGTTGAAGATTTTGTTTTTAGCTCGATCATCTGTAGATATGGGATCCCAAATCAGATTGTGGCTGATAATGGAACTCAATTCAATTGCTCCTCATTCTGAGATTTCTGTTCCAGTTATGGGATTAAGTTATAGTTCACCTTCATTTACCATCTAGAGTCCAATGGCATGGTTGAATCTGTTAACAAATGCATTTTAGAAGGTATAAAGCCGAGATTGGAACAGCATAAGGCCAAGTGGGCAGACGAGCTCAACAACGTCCTTTGGGCATACAGAACCACGAGCCGAACTGCCACAGGTACTGCTTTAAACTGAGTTTATTTGAGTAATTTCTATATTATTTTACTTTTTCTGTTATGCTTAACCTTAGAGCAAATATGCATAATGCATAAAGCGCATTCTAAAGTTATAATCAACTGAAATAGGTGAAACACCCTACCACTTGGCCTTTGGTACTGAAGCAGTCATTCCTGTTGAAATAGGAGTCCCAAGCTTTCGGGTCACCCATTTCGATGAAGGGCGAAATGGACAACTGCTTCGGGAAAACCTTGATTTGCTTGCCGAAGTCAGAGAAGAAGCTCGGCTTCGAACTCTTGTATACAAGCAGAAGCTAGCCAACTTCTACAATAAATAGGTCCGCCCTCGAACTTTCAAAGTAGGAGACCTTGTTCTCAGAAAAGCTGGCTTAACGGGGTTTGAAACTCGTTTTGGCAAACTTGCCCCAAATTGGGAAGGCCCTTATGCCGTGGCCGAAGTGCCACATCCTGGTGCCTATATTCTCCAAGACGCTGAAGGAAAGAGAGTTCCTAGAGTCTGGAATGTCAATAACTTGAAGAAA